GCAGGAGCCTGCAGTGGCGAATCACTAAACGGAGCAGGGCCGTGAATCTGGCATCACACCAAGATCTAATAATAGAAACGGAATATGAGAACCCCAACCCCAGCTCTGGCGGATCCTGCGCTGACCCGCGGAGGCAGCCCAGCTTGGTCCTTCTTTGGGCTGTGCCTGGCCACCGTTGTCCCCCTACCTACAGTGGAACCCCACCCCCAAGCTGGTCTTCTGCACAAGTTCAGACACCTGCGTCCATGATGCAGAAGGTCCTGGCCATGCCAGCCAGAAGCTTGTCCTCAGCCATGCGTGCTGTGGCACCCAGAGACATCGCCTGTGGAACCTTGGGCTGTGTCGCAAGTCCTCAGCTCCTTCAGCAAGCCCAGACAGACGCCACGTGAAAGTGCTCGTGTCCTTTAGCGTGCCTGAGCTTCTCCGCTGCACAGTAAGTGCCAGTGTCACTTCATGGGCACGAGGTGGCCGTCCCGGCCCTCCACTGTGTACCCACAGCCAGCACACTCTGCAGTCAGCAGCCACCTCTGCCAGGAAGCCCCCGGCTCTCGGAAGCCTCCCCAGCTGCAGCCCCCCAGTATGCCCAAGGTAGATCCATCTGCCTGATACCTTCTGCCACTGTGGGGTCTGTGGCCCAGAAACCAGAAGACATAGTCCATCTCTTTCACTGAGGTGTGGCATGTAGTGCAGCTCAAAACGATGGCCCTAGTTTTTCCCCCGTTGTTTAAAATGCTTTTCAAATAAGTTTTACTGTCATGAAACACACATAACAAAATGTCCCGCCTCGTGCACAGGAGGCAGCAGCCCGGTGATGTTAAGTACATTCCTGCTGCTGTAGAATTCTCCGCCCAACCGTCTGCGATTTCCTTTGCTAAGTGGGAGCTACACACTCACATCACACTGCCGCTGGTCCCCACCAGGTGATGTTCAGCCCACAATTCTGACCATTCTGGGTGCCTCAGCTAAGTAAAATACTAAAGGCAGTCTTCTTTCGTGGTTGGTTTATTCCGCTCAGCAGTGTCCTTGGGGTCCTCCCATATCGGGCCACGTCTCAGAGTTCCCTTGCTACTTCGTGGCTGAATAATTTCCCACTGTGCATATACCACTCCTGCTTGTCTGTTCACCTGCAGTGGACACTTACACTCCTCCACATTTTTAGCTGTCGTGGATGATACTGGTGTGAACAGGAACGTACAAATAGTTCTTCAGGATGCTGATCCAATGTTTTCTGTATAGATGTGCCACCCTACTTGGCCCGGTAATTGTGTTTGCTTTGTTGGCACCCGCCACAGCACTTGAAGGACTGTCCGCTTGCAGTCCTGCAGGCAGTGCACAGGGGTTCCCATTTCTCTCCGTCCTCACCAACATCTGTGCTTTCCTGACGTGGCGCGGCGGATGTGCGCATGATCATAGGTGGTCTCTCATGTGGGCTTTGATTTTCACTTCCCTGGCTACTAGCCCTGGAGCTGGGGTCTTTGGTGACTCCCAAGGACCCCTGCTCTGGCAGCTTGGTCCCTGGGCGCTGCTGTCGGGCTGTAAGCAGTGGAGCCTGGGAGGGGCCGCTAGGTAGCTGGTGCGTGTCAGTGAAGGAGTCCGTGCCCCACCCCGTTGCTCCGCCCAAGTCCTGCCGTCAAGCGCTGCTCCTTCTCGGACTGAGGCTCTGAAACCGTGATCCAAGCAACCCTTTCTCACCAGTCTCTCTCCTCTGCTGGGGGTGTTGCTACAGCGACAGAAGGCTGACTCGCCCCAGTGGTGACCAGGAGCCCCTTTCCACGTGCTCACTGGTCACTGACACTTGAAAAATAGGTAAGTGCTTTGCCTACTTTTCAACAGAGCTTGTTGGCACTGAGCGTGAAGAGTTCTCTATATATCCTAAATATTAATCCTTTATCTCAGATAATCTTCAATTATTTTTCTCCCGTTCTTTTTTCCTCTGCTGAGGCCGATGCTCAGTGCACACATTTTTGTGATTTTCATGAAGGGCAGTTAGCCTGCAGTTGGTGGAGACCAAGGGCCATTATATAGTCCAAGGTAGCCCTGCTGCCTACCTCCTGTGTGTTCACACGGCGCTGGCATCGAGCTCAGAATCTCTGCCTGAGGTTGCTGTGCAGAGCTGGTATGCAGTTCCAAAGCCCCTGCCTGTCGTCCCCGAGCTCCAGGCTGAGGACAGTGGGACTGGGTGACGGAGGGAGTGGGGCAGCTGCATCAGTGCCACCGAGAAGTCAGAGAGCCCAGGGCAGGGCCCAGCCTGGCCAGCGGCAAACCCGGAGCAGAGCCACACCCACAGGAGGAGGGCGAGGTCATGGAGAAGCCATTCTTCTGCTTGGACACTTTTTTTGCAAGGTTAAAAGAAGGTTCACTACATGTAAGACTCACTACTTGGAAGCACCCACAAATAAGTCTTAGTTGTTGTTGTTGTTGTTGTTCTGCAGGTATTACAAGGGAAATGCTTTTGCACTGGGTACTGACTCAAAGAGAAATCTCCGGGGGTAATTTCTGCCTTCCTGGGGCCACTGAGCAATGGACGCCACAGGCACACTGACCCTCTGGTTGTCACAAGCACACTGGTGTCTGGGCCACAAGGACCAGAGAAGCTGCTCAACCTCTTGCGGGCACAGGCAAGACTGAGTACAACAGGGCTCCCCAAGGACACGGCTTCCAGGGTGGCACCAGGTGAGAAGTCCTGCACCGCACCTCACAAGCATTGTGCTCTGGCTGGCTTGATGGGGCGCAGGCTGCTAGCCCCCCAGGGGCTTCGTCCAGCTATGTGAGTAGGTGGGGCTAGAGGATCTGCACTCCCAGCAAGCTCCACTCTTCCTCCACTTCCCCTCTCAGTCTCTCCAAGGAGGGGAGGACAGAACAGCCCAGGGGAGTAGAACATTTGATGCCCGCTGTGTTCCACTCCACAGTGTGGACTCCTTTCTTCTCATCCTGGGTCTCAGCGCAGTGGGCCTGGTGTGAGCACTGCTTGGCGGGCAGGTGCATCTATCCTTGAGGGACATTCCCACCCCTACCTCCATCTGGACAAGATGAGGGAGAGAGCCTGACCTGGGCCTAGGCTCAGGCTCTAAGAAGACCCGAGCCCCATTTCTAAGCTCATGTTCTCACCTCTGTCTATTAAGGGGAGCCCAGGTCCCGCAGCTCCTGAATTCAGACAAGAAGAGCCTGAGTGTCCCCACAGGGATCTCGACCCAAAACTGCAAAGGACCCAGGTTCTTGGAGCCAGCCAGAGGAGAGACCGACTGTCACAGGCTGGTGTGGGGGCTGAGCTGGGAGCTCCTCCCACCTGTTGGGCCCCTGCTGCCTGTCACAGGCCCTGCTGCCTGTCATGGGCCCTGCTGCCTGTCATGGGCCCTACTGCCTGTTCAAAATGCAGACATTCTCCACCCAGGACAAGCAGCTTCCAGCACTCACTCTGACCCAAGCCTGGGAGTGAGACAGAAATTACATTAAAGCCTGCACTCTAAACAGACCACAAGTTTTGAGTCATTGGTGTGGGAACTATTTTTGCTTTCTTTAAAATGTTTTCAGCCAGGTCTGCATGTAGGAGCTTTCAGCTGCAGTGGGTGAGGCTGCTTGCCCAGAGCTGGAGAGAGCAGGGCCCCGGCTTTCTAGGGTCAGCGCCATGTGTGCAGAATTCGGCCTCACTTGTGACTGTGCTAGCCAGACACCCAGAGGAAGCAGGACAGAAAAAGGAAGAGCCCTGGGCCTGCTCAGACATCTGAGGTCACGGCATTGCCCAAGGCTCAGAAGGTTGGATTATTTTTAACTATAACAAATTATGAGCCTGATGCCACCTGTGGGCTTCTAGGACTCTGCCAGTGAGCTCAGCCGTAAAGGATGGCAAACATGGCCTGGATGCCAAGATAGCAATGGCTGGTCACACAGTCACAGGGGATCAGCCTTTCCTGGGGCTTAGCTGGCCACCAAGCCAAGGGCTAAAATCACCCTCCGAACAGGGTAACACACGCATTTTCCCCAGTAATCCTGCATTCTTGGGAAACTGAGGAGGCCAGGTTGGATGTGAAATGAGATTTTGTCACTCACGTCAGAAAGGAGGCAGGTACAGGCTGCGCCTGTCAGCCCGCCATCACCCTGACAAATTCCCACCCACAACGACCTTGAGGCAGCAAGAACTGCTTCTGGTGTGGCCTGCAGAGCTCTACCTCAGCCTGGGGTTTGCGCGCAGGCCTGTAGGGTGAGGGCACTGCTGGTGGCCACTTACCCTGCGGTGGCCAGGAAGCACGAGGAGGGCTAGAGGAAGAGAGATCATGGACTCTGACGGTCACCAGGTCACTTGAACAACTGAGGCGAGGTGCGGCTCCGCGGCTGGAACGCATGGGCACAACCTGCGGACTGAGGAAACTCTGTGACCACCACTCCAGGGAGCCGCCTCAAGCACCACGCGGGGTCCGACACAAGAACATGCAGGACCCGGCATCTGATGCCAGGCTTCTAGCAGAAGACCCCAGGCGCCACAGGGATCCGCTGTCAGGGAGACTCACAGGACGGTGGGAGGACGGGGCGCCGCCCTCTCACCCCTGCCTCAGTCTGGTCCTTCCGGTGCAGGGCACAGCAAAGCAGCCTCTTCTTCCTGAGCGTTGCTTTTGTGCCGCTTCTCCTGCTTTTTCCTTCTTCTTCCCTAAAATAACGGCAGTCTTCTCTCTGACCAAGTCATCGAGCTGGACAGTGAGACTCCGGAACGCGTGCGATCCCAGCTCGTCGGGGGACGCCCAGCCCATTGGATCAGGCCCCCCGCCAAGGCACTCGCTCAGCTTGGACGACACCCTCCCTCCAGGGGACCCTGAGCAATCACACTGGGACTTAGGGTCTCACTGCGACCTCTTCGCTGATGACCTCACTCCCCTCCCCTAGTGCCACCTACCACAGCGCCAGGGACCAGAGGTCAGACCCAAAGTGCAAGCTTCGTGGGAGGTTTGAGGGCCAGACCACAACCCAGGCCAGAGGTCAGCTGGGGCTGTGCTGGAGCGAAGGCAGAGGTCCCGGCAGCCTCCGCCGGGTGTTTCGAGGCCTCCGGGGACAGGCTTTGGAGGCTGTGAGGGCGTGGACAGCACTACTGCTGCGCTCAGGCCTCCAGCTCCTGTCGGGGTCCCCATCTCAGAAACGTGAAGGCTGAGGACTCCTTCCTGACTGCACCCGGGAATGTGACCCGTCGGTGTAGAAGTCAAACAGTTCACGTTTCCATGGGGGTACGCATCCTGTAAAATCTAGAGGAAAATGAACACAGGACCCTGAGAGCTAAGGGAGAATAAAAAGGACGTATGAGGGCCGGGGAGACAGCTCGGAAGAATAAGCGCCTGCCTGGCTAGCGCAAGGGCCTGAGTTCAAGTCCCAGTTCTCAAAAAAAAAAAAAAAAAAAAAGGTGGTGTGACCCTGTGACAAAGCCACAGTGAGATGCCTGCCTGTGTACTGGCACCAGCTCCTCAGGGCAGGAGCTCATTATGCATCACAAATATAGAGTGATAAAAATTCAAACATACACAGACAAGCAGACGGACAGACAGACAGGCAGACAAAACAGTAGCCATACAAGCACGCTTGGAAGCACAGCCCTGTGCCTGAGTATCAGAACCAGACAGCCGAGGAAGCAGCAAGGACCCCCCGGGACACCGACAGTTCTGGGAGGCCCAAGGGTTGACCCAACAGGTTCTTGAGATTAAATCTGTTGATATGGAATTGTTTTGCATTAGGATCTGTTATGGCGTGGTTGTCTGATGGTGGAAGTGAAACAGACAGGTATTTAGGTAGTAAGGAAAGTGACCCTGGAGTGTCCAAGAGGAAATCCCCCCAGAAAAAGGTGGGTGGACCAGAAGATTGCAGGAACCTCTAAAACCCTTAATAATTGTGGGCCAGTGGCGGTGAAGGACTCCAGGGTCTGCAGAAGTGGGTCTTGGTGCAGCTTGAGAGAGCCCCAAGACTTTCAGGGGAATTCAGGAAGAAACCACAACTCCTCCCGATTGTGGGTTCAAGGAACATGGACACAAATGGCCAGACACGTCTGAAGGAACACTGGGGAGGAGGGTCTTCAGAGTCCCCTGGCTTCCACCAGGACGGGGGAAGCAGAGTTTGCTGGGAAGAAGAGGAAGCCGAATGGGCTGTCTGCCTCCCAGGGGGAGCCTCGGGGCTCCACACAGAGGAGGTCTCACCTGAAGGGAGCTGCTCCAAGGAAAGGAAAGGCAAAGGGAGTTCCAGCCACGGCATCTTCTAAGCTTCCAGGGCAGCAGGGCTTGGGTACCACAGACAAGCACTGAGCTCCACCCTGAAAACGTTGGAGCCAGGATCACCAAAGATCCTAGGGTCGTGCTCCTCACTGTTCCTCGGGAAGAAGTGCTTGGCGCATATCTTACGGTTCCTCAAAGTCTAAATAACAGAGGTCGTTTGGGTCCGCAGTCACCCGTCACTGCCCCGCCTAGGTGCTCACCCCTCTTCCTCCCCCAGCAGCAGTGCTGACAATGGGCACTGCTAAGCATCTGCCAGCAGAGTGATGACCCGGGCTATGTGGAGCTTCCTAGGCAGGGGCGTGTGGGACAGAGGGGAGACCTCCACGTAGAAGGACGTGCGCTCCTGACACCCACTCCATCTGTCCATCACAGAGACAGAGCCCGAGGCACAGCGTGCAAGTCAAGCAGCTTGCATCAGCTGGCTTTCCCACAGCAGGATGCAAGACCTGCTGCCCATGTATTAAAGAAGGTTTACGGGACTCAGTTTCCAGCGGCTCAGCCCAGGGCTGGCTGCTCCAAAGCGGCCAGCGTGGCGGAGGCATCTGGTGGAGAAGGCTGCTCACCTGTGGCAGCCAGGAAACAGAGCGAGGAGGGAGGAGCCCGGCACAGGCACAGCCCCTTGCAGGTGGTGTCCCAGGACCGCTCCAGCCAGCCCCTCGGCGTCGATCAGCTGGAGCATCTCCACAGTCCCATCACCTTCTGGAAGCCCGAGCAGACTTCTGGGAACCGTTTTGTTTTTGTTTCTCATATTTTTTAATCTTTCATTTATTTGGTACAGTGTCTCACTACACGGTGTGGACTCATAGTGATCCTCCTTCTCAGGCTCCCCAGCTCTATGATTATAGGCATACAATGCCACGCCCAGTTTTGGTGGCCAGCAAGGTGTGCCGGGCTTCTGGGACCGGAATGGCATGCAGTACCAGGGACTGAACCCAGGTCCTAGACTTTGCACCAGACCCCTAAGCTATCTCCCCAGCCCTCTGAGGGCCATTTTGTATCTAAACCACAACACTTTTTAATGCCATTTTCTCAGTTTTTCGTTGAGAAGTCACCTTTCAGAACTGCCCATCACAGCCATGCCTGAGCCCAAGCGGCACAGTGACAGCCACCTCTGCAGCAACTCATGGCATGCTCGCCTGCTTCCGACCCTGAACTCCGCGGCACCCCATGTGAACAAGCACAAGTCTCCCGCTGAGCAGGTGAGAAAGGACTTTCCACAATCGTAAAGCTGACAAATGTCTCCTAACTTGCGCTGCTCTGATTTTGTGTATGTGTACGTTCCTAAAATTCATTGCCAAAGAGGCTTTTCCCAGCTGTTATTTGAAATAAGATGGGGGAAATCTCCCCGCATCTGATCTACTACTGTCAAAGCCCTCCAGTTGGTTATGGAAGCCATTGACCTTGGAGAATAAAACCGGTCCTTCCCTCCCCAGACTGAGTGGCCCTTCCCCTCCGTCTCCCTACACCGAGCACAAGCACAGAACTGTGCTGCCAGAGAGCAGCAGCTGTGACCACTGCCTCCCAAAGGGGACCGTGGCTGTCTCGGAGAAAGTGACAGCATTTCTGCAGACCTGCCCACCGGCAGGCGCCTTCCAAATGGTTACTGGCACGGGCTTGTTTTTCTGGCAGTCGGACAGTGGAGCTCTACCCACACCACGGGACGGCACTGCAAGCGGAAACAGACGCCCCAGCTCCTCCCGCCCCGCCTCGCTTCCGGACTGCGGGAGAAGGTGCTTATCCTCCCGCCCCAGCGTGCTGTGGACAGCCGCGAGGCCGAGCAGCTGCTGCGTCGGGAAGCGCACTTTGCGTTCTCACGTGCCCGGTCTGGCTGGAGCCCACCCCGCCCCCGCTCCAGCTGTGAAGTGGCTCCGTGCCGCCCAGACCTTTTGTTCTTATTTCTGCTGAGACTCTGTCCTCATTGTCAAGCTTGGCAGTTATTGCGGGTACATCGCCTGCTTCTGAAGGGCGCTGAAATCTTATCTGCCGCCAGTGTGCCCGTCTTGGTGCGGAGCACCCTTGGGTGGCAGGGAGAGCCATCCAGGCTTGGTGGCCCAGGACTGCAGTCCTTGCACTCGGGGAGGCTGAGGCAGGAGGACCCCAAGTTCAAGCTCAGCCTGGGCCACTTCGTCACTTAGTAAGAGCCCTGTGTCAGTATAAAATACTATTAAAAGTGTCTGGGATGGGGCTCAGTGCACAGACCTTAGGCTCAGTCTCGATAACAAAAAATTCGTCGGGCCAGGGAGATGGCTCAGTGGGATAAGTGCTTCCCTGGCAAGCACACCGGCCTGAGTTCAATCCCCGGTTCTGCCAAAACAAAAAATCCGTCAAAAGAGATCAGATCCGAAGCCCCGAGGAACTGCGGGCAGCACGTGATGCCAAGACTTCTTTTCATCCTTTGAATTCAATCGTAACTGACTTTCCCGGCGGGCCTCTCCTCACAGCGCCCACAGGGGCTCGCGCAGCAAGGTCGGCTCGGCTCGGTTCAACAGGAGGGGACGACAGCGAGTGAAGCACAAACTATTCGGGTTGGTGAGGCAGCTGCCGTCTCAGCCACGTGGGTCCTGAGGCCGACGGTGGCGGCAGAGTGGGCAGCGCACCGCGGGCCGCGCTCAGCTCCCGGCGCTGCGCTGCGTGTTCACTCCACCAGGCTCTGGGTCGGGGCAGGCGCGGCGGGAGTGCGGCTCGGCCTGAGGCCCCGAGCTGCGCGGAGTAAGGACCCCTTCGTCACGGAGAAGGGTGGGCGGCGCACATAAGCGACTCATCCCGCCGAGCTCAGCTTTGGGGATGAGGTCCCCAGGCGAAGTTCGGGTGGTCCGTCGGCATTTTCATTACAGTATCCTGCAAAAGAGAGAGAGAGAGAGAGAGAGAGAGAGAGAGAGAGAGAGAGAGAGAGAGAGAAATTAAAAAGAAGAAAATTGTTTTAAGAATTAAAAATAAATGTTAAGCATTAACTGCTCCTTTTAACAGAGCAGAAGAACGAGCTCCTGCGAGCTGCCGAAGCTCTGCTGGAAGACCGTGAGCTCTGGGTATGCAGAATTTTGTTCCAGCCTGCAGTCCTGTGTAGACAAATCCCCCTCACTTTCTGGGAAAGAGGGAATGTGGCAGGGCTAGGCTTTGGAGCCCTGCAGCCAGGGTGAGAATGCTGGCTTCATGCTAAGCCAGTGACAGGGCACCTACTGGAGGACTCCGGGGGTCTCGGGGTCCACCCAGGGAGAAACCGTGGCAGCCATGAGGAAAAGCCAGACGAGAAGGGGTTGGGGAGATAGCTCAGTGGTCTGAGCACCCGCCTGGCAAGCGCAAGGACCCAAGTTCAATCCCTTGTACCACCTGCTGTGCCAGGCCCAGAACCCAGGTGCACTGAGCCAGCCACCAAAACCAGGTGTGGTGGTGCACACCTGTAATCCCAGCACTGGGGAAGCTGAGACAGGAGGATCACTATGAGTCCAAGCTACGTAGTGAGACCTTCTACCAAATCAATAAATAAATGGAAGATGTTTTTTAAACATTAAAAAAAAAGACAAGAAGACAAAAGCTGAGTCTGGTGGTGGTCCTTGCCTGATTGGCAAAGGTCCTCTGAACAATAGGGGCATTTATTCATGCCTTTGCAAAGTTAGCATGACATGGCAAAAGGTTGCCTAGTGACTAACAGTGACATTAGCCAGGCAGGCTGCTTTTCTCAGGACTGAGGTGGCTTGGTTGCTCTAGGCACTAAGGCCGAGTCCTGCTCTCACCCACGACCTATTTCCAGCTTCAGCGGCTCCCAACATCTACTCTCTTGGGTTCAAGGCTTGGTCCTGTGAAAGGCACACAAGTGTCAGCAGCTATGAACATTTTCATTTTCTGTGGCCATTATAGGAAAGAAGTAAAAACACCCACAGTTGAAGCAATTAAACTTGGTAAATTTCCATACCATTTTAACAAAAGATGATAAATTATGGAAAAGTAAAAAGATAAAGGAAAGGGGCAGTGAATTTAGAAAGAAAGCTTCACGTGGGGAGAACCCAGCGGAAGACAGTCACTTAGCAAGCCGCCTCACACGGACCCATGTGGGCACAAGCCCCTTCGGTCTGGTGACAGGGTGGCTCTGTCTTCCTTCTCATGGGGCGTAGGGAGACCCACACAGGGGGAAGCTTAAATTTACCTTTACGCAGACAGGTAGACGATACAGGGTTCTCTCTGTCTTTGCTGTTTTTTAATTGTCTTCTACCACAAACCAGCATAGCTCTCAAGGTCCTGGGTCAGCAAATGTTAAGAGGATTTAGAAAATAAATCAATGAAAACTGAGGCTGGGGGAGGCCTCGTTTAGGAAGGGAAAAGAGGACTGGACGAGCTGTAGGGGGAACTGCAGAAGGCCTCCCAGAGCTCACCTGCTCTTGCACCACATTGGATTTTAACCTCCAATCATCTCATCCCTCACATCCTCTCTGACTTTTCTTAGGGAAGAGAGCATGGCTGCGCCCCCTCCCCAAGCTGTCCTTTCCTGTGCTTCCCTTGCCTCACAAGCCCGCAGGCATAGCAGACATTGCCCGCCCGCCTGCCCTGGCCTCCTCTGGCTCTCCTGGCATCTCAGCAGATGTGCCCGAGGCCTCCGCAGAATTTCCACTTCCCTTAAAGACCTGAGTTCACAGGAAGCCTCATTCCCACACCTCACAAGACAGCACCTACAGCAAGAACTGCAAGGCAGAGCTCCCAGCCCTGCAGAGGCTCGGTTAAAGAAAACAGGGTCTCGCTTCACTCCCCCACTTGCCCTCCTGATCCTGGGCTCAGGGAAAGATCAACCATCTCTCGTGCATCACAGAAGCTAGGAGGGCTCGGGCAGAGGTGGGGACCGAGGCCCCTCACTGGGCAGCCAGGGCGCAGGAGTGAGTGCGCCCTGCGGGTGGGCGCCTGACCCCAGGCAACAACCACTGGAGCCCCAAAGGTGCAACAGACAGGTGAAGCCTTGGCCCTGAGAGGAGGGCTCTCCAGTGGTCTCGGGTGACCGCTCATTAACACGCAGCCCGCCCAGTCTGTGCCGACTGCTCTCGGGCGCTGGCCCATGGCAGAACATGGGCTGCCAGTCTCGCTGGACACATGGTCACGGGGGACCCTGGGGACGGTAGAGAGAGCAGCAGCTAAGGCCGCAGCAGTGGACAATGAAGACAGAAGCTAAAGCCACAGGCCTAAAGGAGATGTGTAAGTCACAATAACACGGATGACCTCCGTGAGGAAAACGTGCAGCGGAAACTGACTTCCTCGCAAGAGCAGTCTGTCAGGAGGTGACTCAGAAAACATGAACCAATTCACAAAGCTGCTAGTCAATAAATCGGATTAAAAACTAGTAGAAAGTACAATAACATCACCACTCTTTGGCTGTCATGCTAAGAACCGACTGAGGCAGGGAGCACTAATCAAACCTAAACAGAATGTCAGCCAGCCAGGGGTGGTGTGTGCAGCCCCAGCACGCAGGAGGCTGAGGCAGGAGGACGGCCACAGAGCGAGGCCAGCTTGAGCTGCGTGTCAGGCCCACCCGAGTGACAGAGCAAGATCCTGTCTAAAAATAAAACCAAAGAGGCCGGCCAAATAGCTCAGCAGATTAAAGTGCCTGTAAGCAGGCGCAGGGGCTGGGGGTTCGATCCCCAGGCCTGCCATGCCAGCTCTGCTGCCGGGGTGACCTGAGACAGCAATTGAGACTGGGCGTGGTGGTGCGCGCCTGTAATCCAGCTCTTGGGAGGCTGCAAACAGGTGGATCACTAGGAGTCCCATCTAGTAGTGAGATCCTGAACACCCTGTAGACCCTTCCCTAAAATACAAAAGTAAATAAATGAAACAAAGCTAAGTGAATGGGTGAAAGATCAATGAAGAGCTAGGTATGCACATAATTTTACAAGCTAGCTTTAGCAAGTTAATGACTAATCACAAAATAAGAAGTAGTCACTGTACTGGGGAGAAACAGGAGTGAGGTCCACACCAACAACACTGGGACAGATTGACTACTTGTGCCTTGGGACAGAATATACCAAGATGGGACAGAGCACTGTACACAGCCGGTCCTGCCCCAGGCTGCTGACCTAAACTGAGCAAAAGCCAGGCTTAGGGGCCACCTCAGGAAACCACTGTTCTGTGACCTTTTGAAATACCAATGTTGTAAGAAAATATGCAAGGGGCTTTTCCAGATTTCAGGGGTCTAGGGACACATGGCAGCAAAATGCACTGTGTGCACCAGGACTGGACCCTGAGCCAGAAGATCAGTGACAGCAGACACACTAGAAGCCCTGGGAGACCGATACAGACTGCAGCCTGCTCACGGCGCGGGGCCCGTGAATGTGGCTGAACTCAACACCTATATCGCAGCTCTGCTCACAAATGCCCGGTTCTCACAGGAAAACACTCAAGTATTAAAGGATAGATGATAAGACATAGGCACCTCACACAGCTAGGAAAGGAAGGAAGTGGGAGGGGATCAAAAAAGAGGGAGGGGAAGAGAGGGGAGAGGAGAGGAGAAAGGAAGGAAGGAAGAGAAGAAGAGAAAGAGGAAGGGAGAGAATGAAAGAAGGGAGAGTGGAAAGGAGACATGGAATTACAAGGAGGAAAATAAATTTGTGTGGAGAGGGTGGATCCCTATGGAAGGTATACAAGGATTCTCACCTGCACTTTCGTAACTCATCTATGAGTGAAACTATTTCAAATTGATGATCAAATGTACAATAATGAAATATTACGTCACAGTATCACAGGACTCATTCTGATAGAATGCAGGATGTCTTTCCTTCTGCGGCTTTTCTCATAACTGCTCAGGGGAGACCCTAACGCCCCTCCACCCCCTCAAGGGGCTTGGCGAGTCTCCAGAGAAGGTGTGAGCCCCGCAACGGCGAGGCCTCGTGTGTGCTGATCGCCTTCTCCCGGCCCACGCTGGCTCTGCAACACTTCATGGTTATCCCCAGAATGGGGGAAAGAAAGCGCGAGGAGAGCCTGCACCCACCCGCCTGCCGGAGAAAGGGCCCCGGCGCCCTGCTGGCGGCCTGCGCCAGTCTTGGCTGCTCTCCCTGGATGCGCCTCTTTCTGTCCTTGCTCCTCGGATTCTATGTACAAACGCATTGCTGTGCCTACCGCTGATTCTACAAAACGCTCAGCACGCGGGCAGCCCGGAAATCACAACAAGCAGCCGGCAGGTCTGCGCAGGGCGGGCAACACTGAGGCGCAGCAGCACGGCCCGGCTCGCCGTGTCCTGCCTGGAATGGGGCCAACGTCTGCTCACTGTTTTAGAAAATTATATAAAAAATGTAATTTTTTTTTCAAATACGAAGGGAAGAAAGTTCAACAAAAGCCAATCTAGGCAGAAGGAGTAAATGGAAGAGAAAATTAACGAGATTTTGGAGGCCAGTGTTCTGAGAGCACCTAGCACTTAGTGCTTGCTGATAGTACCTGCCACGGGGCGCGAGGCCGGGCACGGTGCCGTGGACGGGCCGAGAGCAGGGCCCGGATCGCACTCCTGAGGTGCTCCGGCGGGCCTCCCGGGCTGTGAGGCCTGCGGCAGCCCTCTGTCCCCACATGCAGGTGAGAACCGCCGTTCTGCCTACCGCAGGGCCCTGGTTCCCGCAGCCCGGCCCTTCCACAAATGCAGGCCCCAGAGCTGCTTCCACTCTGAGGAGAAGGGCGGCGGCTCGGGAACAGCCGCGCGTCCCTCTCCTTCACCCCAGCTGGCTAGCTTTCTTCTCTTTGTTTTCTTCTTGTTCGTCCCTGAGCTCGAACCCCGGCCAGTACCGCGGCACCAGGCTGCAGCGGGGCTCATTCGCCCGTGCCCCCTCCGCACTGCACAGGCGCCCCGTCCTGGGACTCGGCTCCCTGGGGCCCTGGAAGGGCTCGGGGTCCGGAGGCTGGGTGTCCAGCTCGGAAGGCGCTGGGGTGGCGTCACAGCCAGGCGGCCTGGGGCTGCAGCGTTGCGCTGCCAGACCAGGGTGGCCGCTGACCCGACTGTGCGGCGGAAGCGCAGACACGCTCAGGGGGTTTCCCTCTCCTACCTGCGGTTTTTGCCCAGGTGAGCACGCACCCCACAGGAGGTGACTGAGCCTTGGGCGTGGACTTCAGGAGCAGGGCTGGCTTCATTTCCTGAGGTGACACAGGCTAGAGGGTCCTGCTCACGCCATTCTGCGAAGGCAGACTGAAGCCATAGGAAACTGGCCGGGAACGTTTCCAGGAGCTTGAACACAGCAAAGCAAAAGGCTCAAGCTTGGGGGCCGGGGAGATGGCTCAGTGGAATGGGTGCTTCTCTGGCACGTGCAAGGGCCTGAGTTCAATCCCCGGTTCCGCAAAAAAAAAAAAAAAAAAAAAAAAAAGGCTCAAGCTTTCATCTTCAGCCCTTTCTCTTCCCATTCTTCCTTTTCCCTGTTGTCCACTTTGACCTTGAAAGCTCAGTATGACCCCTAAAGAACTTGCCCCAGCGCTGCCTGTAGTTAGACCTGAACTTGGGGGTGAAAAGTAGTGGTCAAGACAGGACGGGGCACCCAGGTTTGCCCTTCCTGCGTCAGTGCCCCCTGTGTTAGAGTCGTAGGACTCTCCTGTGGAAACCCCGCCATCCCTCTCCTGCCCTGTCAGGGACTTAAGGCCTCCCAGCCTGCAGAGCCTTCCTGTAGTGAAGCAGCAGGCAGGGCGGGTGGGAAGGAGGCGGCGCTCCTCTGCACATCCATCCTGGCCAGTTAGCAGAAGCGCGCAGCCACCCCGCGCTGGCGCCATTTCTGACTCGATGGAATGCAGATGCACATCTCTGGTTTTCCACCCTGGGGTACAGACGGCAGCAAGCGCCAGGGCTGCTCGTGTGCAGAGCCAGGGCTGGGCAGTGGTGTGCGGCAGGTGCAGAGCCACCGGTGCTCTCTGCAGAAAAGGGAAGAAGCCACCACCAGCAGCAGCAGGAGAGGAAGGCAAAGCCAGCTGGCCAGGGTCCCGGCGTGTGCAGCACTTGAGGCCTGAGGGCGGCAGGGCCAGAGTCTGGAGGGACCCGAGCAGGGGCAGGACTGTGCCTGGGGCAGCTTAGAGGAGCCCACATGTGGGACTGCAGATGATTGCCCAAGCGCTGGTGCCTCTGGGCAGCTGTGCAGCCAAGACCAGGGACCACAGGCTGGGCAGCATCGGCCTGCTGCAGGCACCAGAGTACGGCCTCGCCTCGCTTCATGACCTCTGCAAACTGTCTTTCTGTCTATGTGTCTGTCTGTCTCTGTCTCGGTCTCTCTGACTCTGTCTCTCTCCCTCCCCCGTCCCAGACCTGGGGAGAAGGGAGGACATCCCCCAGGAATGCAGAAGCAGCTCAGCCCACACCCTCCCA